AGCAGCAATTCCAAGTCTGTGAAGGGACTATTTGCTTTTGGCAGGCATCAAATTTCTCCCGCCATGCTCACAGACCTATATATATTGCATTTCCCAGTTATGCTCACATACCATCAGGCTCATCAGGAACCGCTATCAGGTAACAAATCATAGTGCTCTCTCCAGCTATCCACCCAGGATGAGTCTTCCCCTCTGTCACAGAGCAGCAGCATTTATTGACTAACAAAATTGTTTTGGATCTTCTCACTTTTTTCACGGGCAGATAACAGACACTCTTGTTGGGAGCAATCTCATTGTTTTGTGCAATGTCTGTGACAGGACACAATCCTTGTCCGCCTGCAGCCACTTTGTTACGCACTGAATACCAATATGATATGCATCTTCACATCCAAGTTTGTAGGTTGAGACAGAGCTGCCCAGCTCCCAAGTTGAGGTATCATTTCAACTGGCCTTAGTTTACCGTTTCTTTAAATTTTTTTAGTTTTTTTTCATGCATCACTTCTTTAATATATCAATCCCATAACAAATCAATTATTTATTGACATCAATTTAGCAATAAAAACCAGATAGATGTAACAGTGCCACATGATATCAGTCGTGTTAGCTCATCAACCATGAGCACAAAATGATATGCAGATCCCATTGAGAAAGGCCTCCTCCTAATCAGCTGCTGCACAAAAATGACTACGTTAAGCAAAAAATGACACAGCACTTTTCCAATTCTGAAGCATCAGCAACACCTAAGAAAGAAATTGGTAAGAAATTGGTTGAAGATGTCTTGAAACAGAGGCTGAGACTGTTTTAAATGCAGCGTGGCAAGAATGCAGGCAAAGTCTACTCGCTGGGGAACGTCTTTAGGACAGGCTAAATTTGGCTCATTACTACAGGTTGTAACATGATTGCAATCTGACAACAAGGCAAGAGAAAGTCACAGCAGGATGTGATTGCAGGGAGATCCTTACATTGGAATATTAAACTTGAAAGTCGCGATCTGATAAGTCCGGTACCCCTTTAATTACCATTAGGAGCCAGAAGGACTTTAGCAGAGGCAAATGGTCAGCTCTGCATGTGAGCAGCATATGATACCTAGAGGACCGCAGTGACTAGACAAGTTGCCTCACCTAGAAGCCAGCCCCAGTGGGAGACTCATGGCTGTCACATTTATTTGAAGACTCTTCCAGGAACAACAAACTCCTCCAGTGCTGGCTTTGCATGCTACAGTCAAACGGATTCGATATCTCCTCGACTGATCTGGAGCACTGTCTGTTCCAGCTCTGTGACACAGCGCAGAGCAAAATTGAATCTGCACCTCAAAGCGAGGCTGTCGCCTGGCTCCGTGGCTGCTGGAACCGGGCAAAGCAGATGGTGCTCTTACGCGCTGCAGAGTCTCAGTCGATCTCTTTTCTGATAGGTTTGCTCTCAAAGAAGCAGGAGCAAGCAGTGAGGGACCTTAGTTGCATCTTCATTCAGGAGGCTGTGGAGTTTGGACAGTACAACCAATATGCACCCTGTGGGAGAGTCTCCACGCTCCTCCTTGGTCACTTGATGGTGCTGCTCACCAGAGATGACCTCCTGGTGAGGAAGAGAGGAGGGGGTTGCTCAGGGAGTCCAAAAATTCCCATCGCAGAGCTGTGGAGGAGCCTCCATAATCGAGTGCCCCTTTGGCCCTTGACCAAAAAGGGCCATCAGCCACTGGAGGATTGGAGCAGCATGGCTGTGTCTGGGAGGACCAACAACAGTCTTTATAAGGACACCTTGACTTAAACCACCTCAGCACTTACAGTTTGTGGGTTATGGAGACCAAGGCCGGGGCAGAAGAGATGCATCATTAGGAGATGGGCCAGAAAGAAACACTTTTGGCCTTCCTTAGGAAAGGTAAAAATTAATATTGCAGGCAGGCTGTATTCCTTCCCCCAGGACCTCTGCCAGGCACCTATTAACAGAGCAAAACCAACACGGATTACTCAAAGAAATGTTGGGCACTGCAGCAAATCACCAGTTTCAGTGGTAGCCTTCAAGCAGGGACGCAATTTGGGTCCTTTGTATTTATTTTCTCTCCTTCCCCCCGCAAAATATCAGCTTGTGTAGGTAGTGTCTGCACTGCGGTGACCCAGCTATCTGGTCAAAGGCCTGCAGTGAGCCAGGAGATAGAACAGGTTAACGTTTAACTCGATTAGAGAATAACCTGAGCGACACGTCGCCGGGACTCCAGAATCAAGGAGAAGTTTCATGGGCTCTTCCCCCAGCCCCTTTCCCCCCGAAAATCGCTCAGGTACAGTGTCGCCGGGCTGCTTTTCCTGCGGGGCCTCTTCGGCCATGGGAGGGGGCAAGGGGAGGTGGTATTTACCTTGTGGCAGTTCGGTCTGGATGTGCTTCCTAATGCGTAATAATGCTCTTTGGTGCTTTCCCTCCACTGAAATCATGTGCAAAATGCTCGCGGGTTGCCGATGCCGAGTTGGTTTCACCCGACAGAGGCAACCGCTCTGGGCGCGTGCACCCCTCTTCCTTCTTCCCTCTTCCTGCGAGTGTCTCCAAGTCCCAATTTTATGGGGTAACCTGCAAAATAAAAAAATAACAGGAAAAAGGAAAAAAAAGAGATGCCAGTAGGAAGGCAGAGGAACTGTGTTTTCTCCCGGTGCTGCTAAAACGGACCCCATCCTGCAGTACTTCTCACCCGAGCAAAGAGCACGCTGCCAGATGAAGGCTGTTGGTCTCCTGGTGCGCGGGAAGGCGCTGGAAAACCTTGAGAAGTGCCTGTTTAGAGGGGGGAAATAGGAGCTGTTAGAGGGCAGCAGGAAAAAGAAAGAAAGAACCCACCCTAAGTCTGAGAAACTTACAGCAAAACTGTCTCTCGACTTGCTAGATTTGATTTATTAAGAGTAAAGGCTGAGCAGAGTGATTCTGTCTTCTTGAAGGTTATTCTTCACCCAGAGTGGCTGTGTGGGGAGAATGGGGAGGTTTGCCTTCCTTCAGTGTGTCCAAGCAACTCACCCGCCACTTGAACGGGTGAGTGGAGTGATCCACATGGGCTAAATATCGCTTTGTTATCTCCTTTATGGAGACCACAACTGAGTTTCTCCACAGACCATCACAAACCACCAGGTTAGAGCACCAAAGCAGCTGGGGAGCAGCAGGGTTAGGCTGGAAAAATGCAGGGAAGAGATTAAACAATATTCCAGTTTAATAATATTCTTCTTTAAAATGAAAATAAGACTTCCCTTTGTGACAGCACAGCATTCTCAGCGCCGCATCCATGATAAATAAGTGGCATTGCTTCAAATTCAATCATAAAAAGAACAAAACTTTGACAATGCAATCATACAGTTAGCACCTCTAGAGATCCCAACTTCGATATATGCTTCTTCTAAATAAAATACTGTGTACTTTTTATTTTTTTTACATCTAGATCATTTTTAACAGCAAGCAACCTCAGGGCCAAGCCCCTGAGAACATCTGGGTTGCAGAACCATCACCTCAACCAAACTATTTTGGTTTTAAATACAGCTAAAAAAAAGCTGCCTTAACTTGCTGCAGCTGTTTGCACTTTGCAGCAGCAGGTACCGAAGGTGAGGTCTCCCCCCTTCCCCTGTCAGTAGATATCAGCTGATTGATTAATGGCTGGAGGGAACAAAGAAGGAGAAGAGAAAGTAATTATGCTTCCTCGGGTCCCGTGGCAGCAGCTCTCCTCTGTTACCCGTGCAAAAAAAGAAAAAAAATAAAATAACACAGACATCAGTGCAAGGACTGAGGCTATTGAGCGGAGGAAGACGGATAGGATGAAATCCCTGAGTCTAGGATATTCGTCTCCCACCACAGTTTGGGGTCTGCACTCTGGAAGGGGCCTGATGTCCTGGTAGACGTGTGGATTTGGGGAAAGAGAGAGGTGGGAAATAGAAGATGTTTAGAGCCCATCAGGCCAAGGAAGGCAGGTTGGACCACCCAGTCCAAGGAGTGGAACCAGGTGGAAAGGAGAGCAGGCAGCTCTCTCGGGGTGGCTGGGCTGCCAGAAAACCCCAGGCGCGCGGGGAATTTCTGTTACTCATTCACCGGCTTGCCAAGGCCGGCTGAAATTTGGAGGCGGTGTCGGTGGTGGGAGGGGGAAGAAAGCGGTGCGAGATGTTGCCTGTCTGCCTGGCCCCTTTTGTCGCAGAAAGGTGACCATTTGTTTGGCTCTCCAGCTAGGCGTCTTCTGATGGCTTCATATCATCATTCCGTTGGCAACATGGGCACCATGTTAGGTGGCCTCAGCGCCAGCCACGTGACCCTGCTGTCTGTAGTCTCAGGTTACAGAAGCAAAGGAGGGTTGAGGTTGGAAGGGACCTGTGGACATCACAGTCCAAGCCCCTGCTAAAATAAGGTCACCCAAATCACATTGCCCGGGACCGTGTCCCGACGGGTTTTGACCGTATTCAAAGAAGGGTTTCACATTGTCTCTGACAAATGCCTTGCACAACCTTGAAGGTTCTTGCTCTGTTGTTTCTAGCTGATTACTTGAATGTATCTTCTTCATGGGTGTATGCAGGCATCTAGACATTTTGGTCTAAAACAGCTTAAAATCTGCGGGATGTCTTACAAGAAGAGAGACCGGCACAGATCGTCTGGTCTTACATGGTCCTATCTTCAGGAGAAGCTGAAGAGGGATATCATTTCTCCCCATAAATGCATCCGTCTGGGAAGAAAACGTGTTCCAGATCTATCCCTTGCCCCCACAGGTTCGACACGAAGCGATCTCCTCACCCATCCCCACAGGTTTGTGCTCGCAGTTCGACACGAAGCGATCTCCTCACCCAAAACGTTAGCTGGAAATAACGTAGCTTGCTGCATGCCTGCATTCAAGACGCACATGCTGTTCCCCTCTAGAGGAGGAGGAGGCATGTGGCATTTACGGTGCCACATGCAAATATATTCAAAGGAGCTTGCTAAGCCATCCGCCTCATTGGAAAGTGAGGCATGAAACAGCTTTCTATCTAGGTCACTGCTCGGGACAGGTTGCAACCTGAAAACCTCAGCTGCTATGGAAACCCCTTTGGGTGAAGGATGCCACATGGATAGACCTGCTGGCTGGGGACATGTCTGTCTGCGCTCTGTATTGAGTCTTGATCAAAGAGCCAGTCCCACGCAAGACTGCAGAGACCCATGTACTGCAGTGCAGTCTCCCAGGTCACTGATGAATTTGGGACGCAGCAAAAGCAAACTGTAAGGGGCCAAGTTTTGCTTTGCACAGGCAAGAGATCCAAGATTTCCACTTTGCTGAGCCTTTCTCCTTGCACCCTTACATCTCCTTGCTGGGGAGGCCCCATCCCATGTAAAGCCACTTGCCACTTGCTTGCAGCCCCAGGGACTTGCTGCAGATGCTGTGAATGTGAAGCACCCTGCAGCACACACAGCCATCAGCCTATTTCTCTCCTTTGCTTATGTGGTTTAGCAGCCAAAATCGTGTCTTCCAAGAGGTTTTCTTAACTGGAGAGTCGTCAGAAGCAGCCGAAGGATCCAAAGCCAATTTTGGCTTTAATTGTTGTCTTTGAGCAACCCCTGATCAGCATATTTGGAGCAAGTGCAGACAACATGCTCTCTTCAGCTTTTTTTTTTTTTTCGTTCCTTATTTAATTAGCCTGGGAAAACATCCAATTCTTTTTTCCATGTCAGCTTGCTAATCCTGCCCGTATTGCGCCGAACCTGAGTGATAATCCAGGCTGTGGGATCGCGGCCTGCTGTGGCCATGGCCCATCCCAGCCCTCCTCAACTCAGCGGGGCTTCACCGCTGACCTCGGTGCATGGAAGAAAACCATGGATTCAGGTCCCACGCGGGATGTGTGCCAGGCAGGCAGCAACCTCCGAGACTCCAGTGTTGCAAAGGACATGAGATATTGCCTCACGGCTTCACTCCACATTTCCCAGGTGCTAAACTAAGCCAGATGAATCCTACTTCAAAGGATAGGGGACAAAATCAAAAAGCAAAATTGCTTAAATATGTATCAGAGGCTATGAAAAAAATAAGCCAAAACAGTGGTCAGGCTCCAGTTGTGGCAGAGAACATTCATTTTGCAATGAGAGACGGGAGAAAGCTATTGCATGGCTCAATCCATCTCCCAACCCATGCATAGTGGCAGCAGTTAATATCATTGGAGAACCTGGGAACACAACAAAAGAAGAAATCAGAGAAATGCCACTAACTCAGCAATAAATCCTATATGGCGTTAAAGGGCTGTCTGAATTTCCCAGTATTTTTATTGCAGCCTCTAGAACCCGCTGTGGCAGAGTCTGAGTTCATGGATGAAGCGGGCACGAGCTCTCAGACTACCCAATAGTTTTGCTGTTAGTGCTATTCAGCATCAACCAGTAAGGGCTTTGGAAGTCCTCAAGCTCATCTTTGCAGCTGCAGACCTATTTCTATGTAATGATGCAAATACTACTTGTATGTACCAAGCAAAAGCTCAGCTTGCAGCAAAAATGGTGTATGCAGTCCAGTTGAGATTCAGATTTTGCCTTTATGCTTTCTTCAGTCCAAAACCAAAAGTTCTCTAATTTAATATGACCTAAAACTACAGCTCTGAATCAAAAGAACTGAACCGAAGACTATGCCAACCTTGACTGTCGGTACAGAACTGAAGTTCCTCCATGTTCTTGGTTTTTGGAAATGGACCAAAACTCTTCTGAAGTGCCCTTTGCAGTCCATGTCAGATTCCCTACCCAGCAGCAGCGGGATGCCATGGCATGGATGACTCCAGCCTCATGTAGCTGGTGCAGGATTAGGTCTCTTGCACGCGTCTCCCTCCTCGGAAACAAACACAAACTCGTTACGATATTCCCCTGCGTCGCACTAGTGTACTGTCCAAAACTGAACTGGAGGCTTAAATGCTATTTATTTTCATGCAACATGTAAAAGGGGAATAATTCTCCACAGTCTGTTTTTTTTTAAGTTTTTTTTTTTTTTTTTAATCTCAGCATTGCTGATTTAGGAAGAGTGATCCAGTTAACTTTCTCAGGAGGGTGGACTTTCTCCTCCTAGCTGTATTAATTTATTTAATTTATCTTAAATCTGATTGCAGTGAGCACCCCTAATTAACCTGATTTTTTGCTGATAATCACTCACAATGGAATCAAATCACAAATCCGGGGATGGATTGACCGGCAAACAGAAAGAAGCTGCCCTCCGTGCATTAATTCAGCGAACAGGATATAATTTGATCCAGGTAGGAACTCAGAGTCACGTCCTTTTTTTTTTTTTTTTTTTTTTTTTTTGCTTTTGTACGGTGTCTGCTTTCGTCTTGAATCAATACATTGCATCGGGAGCAGCAAATTTCTAAGTGTGAAGCTTTGCTTCTCACTGATTCTCCTATCTTTCTCTCCACTACATGTATGGCATAAGAATGTTTTATAGATGCTCTCTTTTGTAAAGCAGATGGTATTCCTCCAGGAATCCTTTGGTC